AAGTTTTTGCACGAGGCATCTTAATATGTGTGAGCGCAAATGCATTTTAAATCGAAAGGATATTTTGTGTCAATAAATGAACGTCAGAAAATGGAAAACAAACAATAAAACTTGTGACCTTCAGGTCATATGATTAAAATATCAAATTTGCATTTTCGGTCATGGAGTAACAAAATGAGAAAGGATGGATAGGTTATTAGTATCCCTCACTGCTGTTCAACTAAATTCAATCATATACCATGGATGGCCTGTCAACGCTGACAATAAAATACATGTGATCTCAGGCATGATTGAGCCAATACCAAGTTCCATAGAACAGAAAATAAGCTATGAACCTAGGTGAAATTACGGGAGTTTTCCACCCGTTCCGATTATATGAACTAAATTGTTAATATCCAGCAAACTTTTCGCAGTCTATGAACTCCGTTTTCCTGGCAATTTTACCGAAGCAATATCATTATTGATTAGGTAGCGAAACATACTCACCGTCAGCTGAGATGCCGCATATGGTGTCTGGCCCGGATAGGCGTTCGCCGCAGCTAGAAACGCTTGCTGATAAGACGCGGCCGCCACGGCAGCNCGTCAATTGTCCATTTTGGGGAGCAGTAGCAGTACCGACTAACGACGCTTGAGTCGCATTTTGGGACTGCACGTGCAGTGACGAGGCGAGGGTGGTAGTAACCGCAGTAGTAGGTGACTGTGTGCTGTTGACGTTCTGCAATGTGGAACCACTCATTTGACCGTTGCTGAACGACAATCCCAAGCCATTGGTCAAACTGGCGGAGGCAGAAGAAACCCCGTTTGAAGTGTTCATCAGCTGTTGTTGTTGTCGGCGCAGTTGACGCTCACGATCAGTATCCGCAAATTTTACCACCAGCGGTGACGATGCACCCTGGAACGGACAGATCAAATCGATTGTTCTAATTATTGACTAAATTTGTTGTGGAACAATCAACATTCATATTTCGCGAGCTCACATATGTGACCTCAACTACTATAGGTTTGACCGTTTCGTGCGATAGGATGACAGATAGGAGCAAATGGTGATTTTCGTATGACTGTTACGCAATAGCAAAACTCTAGTTTCAACAAAGAGGCTGGAATGATTGGTAGCTGGCTTCATTTCCCATTATTTACTCAACCGATTGCTTAAAAACAAACGATGGATAAATGCACAAAGTACATATGCAGCGGAGCTTTGCTGAGCAAAATAAGTGCAGAAAGTTATTCACCATGCAAAAGTTCTTACATCACAGTAAAGCATTGGAACCACATCATCGCGAAGCTTCTTCCTCTGGTCTGTTAAGGTCACCAACAGTGTGAATCCAACGTGCGTGATGAAACGTGAACTTGGATGTGCAATGCTATGAGCCACACACGTTAAACTGATAATTAGTTCCAAGCTTAAAGACTGACTATTCGTCCAATTGGTCAAAGAAAAATAATAAATCAATTATTTAAGTTTCATTTGATTCGCACTGGATGCATTTACAACCGGATTTACTCAGTTTGATAGAAACATTCACAGAGATTTCTACCAACAAAATCGCTACTGCTCAGTGTCTTGGGTATATGACTAAACTATGAGACTGTCATTAAGCCATGAGAAAAAGTTGAAATATCTAGAAAGCTACACGTGTTCGTGTGCGTATGATTGCTACAAAATGAACCCAAGTTTGCACGTAAGATCAGTGCGTAGTATGCACGGCCATCCGGCTGGCAGACACGGAAATGAATCTTTCCAAATACCCNAAATACCCTGCAAATGAAGTGTGAACAGAGAAGCTACGAAGCCACAGTAGAGCTGTTTCGAACTGGTTGGGTTTTATCAGCAATGCGAATCCAACAACCCAAATGAGGATCGAATCCAGAACCCCACTGGTAGGACGCTAGCATAGTACTTACTAACTCTGTAACCTCCTTATTTCTCATGATTATTTCATATGATAAGCAAACCGGAAGAGCAGAGTTTCTCTAGCAGGTTTGTTAAACTACCTGCCAATGAAAACCGACATTCAGAAATGGAACCAACAGGAGTCATTCATTAACCAGAAAAAGAATACTACCATTCAAAGAGGATGACGAAGTACAGATAATTAAATCGTGGTTTTTATATATATAGGCTACTATATGTGCAACTTGGTAACAAAGCTCCAAGGAGTTGACAGAAGTGTTACATGGAAAAAGTTTGTACCTACTTCTCAGCGGCATATCAAGTGGACACCAGACGCCTGTGTAGAGCTGCAGCCTCTAGTCAGAAGTACGCCACCTTTCAGCTCTCAGCCTGGAAGCCTCAATCCACAGGTAAGTACTAAAATGCGCCCAGAGTGTAATACAAAAACGCTACAGAAACCCGCACGGCTTAATGCTATTGGTGACGATGGGAAAAATGAACTCGAAACGCAGAAAAAGAAATCTTATGGGGACGGAACTAAGAAAGAAATGAGCGTGAACTGACCTGCATTGTTTGACTGTTGTGTAAGCCGTCAATGGCGGATAACGCTTCCGCATTTGTCGCGTATTTGATAAAGGCACAACCTGTCGTAGTCATTCGTCGAGCAACCGGCGTTTAACCCGTAGTCGATTTTCACACAAGCAATGTATGCACGCGAGCAGTCCGAGGAAAAGGCGGGCAAAGATGAACAAAGATCAGTGTGTGCGTGTGGGTGTGTGGAAAGCAGGAAAACCGATCAATTAGGACTAAAAAACGGGAAGCAACTAGGAACGGTCAAACCCAATCACTCTGTCCACTAATTGTAAACGTGGACTGCGAATGGCTTTTTGTATTTTCTCAAATGAATGGTTATTTTTCTGTCAATTTTTATTCAGTCCCAAAGGTCCGGGCTCATATTGGAAACCACTGGTGCGCTCAATATGAAGAATAAACAACTTTCAGTCTAGTCAGGAACTATAAGTACTCCCAAGAAATAATCCCATTAGACAACACTTCCTCTTCTGGATTACATGTACTGCATTCCGGTGCATTGCTCACTGAGAACAAATGAGGGGAATACATAGCATTTGTTATACGTAAAAAGCTTTGCACACCATGCTTGCGCAATCGATTGAAACGGAGCTCACTACCAACCGGGAAAAATAAGGGCAATTTGAACAACCTCAAAAATGACGTCATGCAAAGTAACTGGTAAGCCTGGGGGCTTGTGTCAAGTGTCAAGTGAGATGCAAGTCAGTACACCACAATTAATTTTCGATCATCATTTCAGTTTTTCCCAATGACCCCCATAGCCTGCGATGAGAACAAATAGCGTAAACCCTGAGGATGAAGGACGATGTGAAAAGCAATGGAAAGTGAATGGACTACGGTAGTTTGTTGGTGCTCTAAGTATTGGTTGCAAAATTCGTTCAAATCAAACAAAGAACGGAACTAGTTTTCTGTTGTAAACTTTTCATCTCCCGATAATTGATCACATTATGAACAGTCCAAATTTCTATAATACGATCTATTTCAAATCAACGCGAACAAATACAGACTTAGTGTATACCGTCACGAGGTCAAAGGTCAGCTCGATTTTTACAGATTTAGGCTGTGTGGATGATCAGGTACACAATCTTCAATCGATGGGCGATTACAGTCGTACACCAAAGTTTTGCAACCGCGAGATCCTTGTCGTCCCACTCGAAATCATGTGTATTTCAATAGGGTCTTAGGCACGATATGATTCCTCATTAGAACCCAGTGTACTGTTACTCTCAAATCTGATTCAGTGCGTTACAGGCAATGGTATTATTCACACGACTACGGCAAAACTGATTATATACGGTTTTGCCATCCCATCCGGTTGTCAGATCAAGGACGCATGATCAGAGCAAACTAATGAACAAAGTGATGCCGTTTGGGTTGTGACTAAAATACTTTTATCCATATACGGCTTCTCGTCATATTGGACGATTTATTTGAGTTTCGGAGAACTATCGCACTGGATTTTTCACTTTGTGCGTGAGTTTCACAGTTCCACGTATTTGTTGAAAAATAAATATTTGGGCGATCCTAGATGTGGTTTTAAATAAGCAGCAGTACACTGTCCTCAAGCCGCACGTGATTCGTTCATCTTTTGACCTAACGAGTGATGACTATGCCATTTTTATCGATCCATGCATGCTTTGTGCATGTTCGGTATATGGATGACTGAAGATCCCACACAGCTCGTCCATGTTCAATGAATCATTCGTTCTTTCTGAACAGCGATAATCAGATCGGGTCTTTTCAGAATATGGCAAATCCAGCAAGCACAAATAACTGATCGATCGGGTGAACCAGCGTGACACGTGCAACCATTACGAGCGAGATGTGATAGTTTACCAACTGCCACAATTCTTTAGGATAACTAATAAAAATGTACTGTGCACAGCAGGAGTGCCATCAACACATGGTTTGACCGATTAATCTCGTATCAAGTAAGAAGACATTACATTGCACGAATCGTTGAAAATTATCTGATTACAGGGCAAATGTAGTCAGAATAAACTAGTTCTAATGAGTCATGATTAGGAACGGAAAGACAATTAGGAAAACACGAACAGTCGCGCTACACTTAGCCACTCCATACCGTTGGGGAGAGGGGTCGGTTGACTGGTCCCATGAGCGAAAACAAGTCTTATCGCAATCTACTCGTTTGAATAAGTTACGGATTCAAATTAGCATTAGAAATCAACCGAATACCGTCAACACTAATTTTCAAGAGCTGGTTTCGCTGGCATTCATGCATACTCTACGAAGTGCTCTGAGGATTATGATAGAATAACGATTGGACATGCAAAGTTTTCCGACAACCATTCGCATCTATACAGTGAAGTGAGCAGTGCCGCTGCGGAATATACAATACTCGGAACGCAAGTTCTATTCGAATATATATAATTTCGGGGATTAGTAACCAGATCTTAATTTCTTAAAGGGAAATTAGTAATGAACAAAAATAAAGGAATACCCTCACATGAGTTCAATAAATAGGAATAGACTTGCCTTTGCTCACGCCATTCTGGTCTCGCAGGATAGTGCACTCCTCAATATAGCCGTACGGTGCGAAAATGGCTCGAAGATCATCTTCCGTTTGTTGCTTATTCAGCATACCCACAAACAACTTCCGATCTTCTGTACCAGGGATGCGGAGCAGTGAAAAATAATCGGACACAAAACAAACGGATGATTGTTTAGGCGGATATGAGAGCAGCTAATAATTCACGGAATAAGGAATATAAGTACCAAACAGTAAGACATTCGATTGATCATGCACAAAACGCCGCGATTCGAAACAGCTGTTGTGAAAAAGCCCTACCGATCATACTTTATATTTCTGTATACGGATCGGATACTCTCTTTTTCTTATCATACGGATAGAAGTGTTCCGATCTGTCCGAATTGTCGGGCTGCATGTAGCGGCCGGTACCAGCGGAAAGAGCGAAATGAATAAACGAACGGTGAAATCGAAACAAATGAGAATGCGAAATGTAACATTACTTTTCCACGCGTTGTCTTAAGGACTCACATATATGCACCACGCTGGAAGCAGGCGAAGCAATTGAAAAATCAGCGCTGCAAACTCGATAGATCAATCTGAGTAATATAGTAAATCATAGGATCAAAGGAGAAAAAGTAGTCCGTAAGCGAGCGAATGGGCAATGTCGCTACTACAAGGAAGAGATTAAGGGTTCTGTGCACACAACCTTGATAATGGACACGAATGACATTATTGAAACGTTGACAACCACCGCCTGTTAAAGCACTCAAGGGAACCTCATTTATGGGTGCACTTATGGGTGGTAGTGCTAGTGCTAGATTAATTTTTCGCTGGCGTCCTCAAAACTCTACCGTTCAAAGTTCAAATCCTGACTCCGCAAACCAAATTTCGTGGTAAGCATTTTTGCTAGCTTCCGGATCGACATCATACCCATTCTTCTCAGGTCTTTTCTACCTCTCAAATAGAAGCCCCGTCCGCCTGTGCTGCCAATTACTACAAACTAACATTCTCCTGTTTTCATCGTAAGTAAGCGTGCTGTATAAGAGAACCGGTGTGATTGGAAGTTTCTAAATTAGGCATCTGTTCACTTTTTTGATAATATAAATGCGAATCAATAAAACACCTCCTGGGGCATATTGAGAAATTCGACATGGAATTATCCACTCGCTCCTTCCAAGACAATGTTTTACCACGGAAATTTGATAAACGTAACTGAAAAGAAATCCCGTTAAACAATCGAGCACAAATAGTAAGTGACTTCAAGGAAACCCCTCAATCAATAAGGTGAAGGACCCCCTCGGGTATGCACTTGTACGGGTGGAATTTCGAGAAATACACCGCGATTATAATTTTTATTATTATTGATTGGATTATACGTTCCTGATTCTGCGAATCAGTTAGCACACCTCTGAAATTTTTTCATTTCTGCTGTCAAAACGAATACCGTCTATACAGATTACACACACACATGAGATAAGCATGTCTAAAATCCAGCCATGATATTCGCCCGAAGCAAACTACGGTGTTCTTTAACCACACACTACCCACACCCTGATCCTTTCCATGGCTGTCATTGCGTAGAACGTATTTTACTCCAGAGAAAAACATCAGTGTGTAGATGTACCGTGAGATTCGTTTCCAAAATTCCCTTCACCATGTTCGTTTATAAAACACTAAATGTGTCGTAAAAACGATGCAAACATTACTGTGCTGCCGTTCAAATGAAAGATCTTGAGTGACGGAGCTCGAAAACGCTGGGAAGAAGTTTTGAAGACTTACGGAAACGTGTAAGGAACGTTAATTAAACTGCGATATCGTATACGACAGAAAAGCATCATTTGAGGTAATTTGTTTCTTTACTATCCGCGTTTAGGCACTGACCTCTAGAGCATTAAATGAAATCAATGCACAAAATCGGAGGATGGAAAATTCGTGGTCACCTAAAACAACACAATTTCTCTTTCGTGAAAGCTTCGTCGTCGCTATTGCATCGAGAGCCGAATCAGAATGAGCGATGCCAAGGGGAATATCGGTCTCAACCATCCGTCCTATAAGCTTATATAATAATCAGGTTCAAATATTTTTATTATATTTCCGAGCTCTACCCACTAGAAAGGATATGCCCTATGATTACTAGAAAACAATTGCGGTGTTCAAACCGGCAATTCCGACTGGGAGAAACGAACCACGAACGAGGCCCGAATAAAATAAGCGTGTTCGTTAGCTGTACGAAAAAGTTGTTTGCACCATAGTTGAGCGGCACTGTGAAACTTGAACCTCGAAACCAAGAGACCCCAGGCAATTCAGCGATATCGACCGACGTTGCTAGACCACCAGATAGTATTGACGATGCGTAAACGGTTAAATAGGTCATTGACGATATTGATAATTCTGTGCCATCCGAATTTCATGGTTTTGTAGTAGTCTGGAAACAATGGTTTCTCAGGGGGTCTTGAAGACATCATCCGCCCATCAGGTGGACCAAACTTTGAATCACAGACACGCAAACAATAGAGTATTTTCATGAGGGGCTTAAAAGCTATACCATCAGACAAATACGGGATAGATACATACCGTGGTTAGTGGCCGGGCATGTAAGAAACGATCATCTCCGTCAGGAGTCATCGCGGTAACGCAAATGGACGATGCCAGGTAAAGCAGAACTGTGAACGTCAAAAAACACCAGCTGGTCCTCGTGACTACGGGTCTTTCCTCGCATACTGTATATCATACTAAGGTGTGTATTGAAAAGCCATACTAAGCAATCCCAACAAGGGTTCATTATAATTGATTAAAGGGCCACTTCATGCCGTTTGTTTTTGAAACTAAATTTAGATTGACATTTCATCGTGTGAAGTTAGAATGCGATCAACATTCACTTTTTACCACACTGCAATGAACTGCAGGAGTAAACACATACTCTCACGAAGACCTACTGTTCACTTATGGGAACCGGCAACCTGAGACCCCGGACTTAGATTCGGGAACCGCATAAGACTCCAGTAACTTAAGCGTGGTTTTGAACCGAGTGACAGCAAAGCCGATAACAAAGTTGGACGACAGGGTTGGGAAATCGGAACCCAGTGCCTGAACCACGCCTGTGCCAGCGAATTAAACCACACAGCCAACATTCAAGTAACAGTATCAAACCCTAATTTCAGGAGTTTAGCAGTGAACGGCAAAACCGAAAGGCTGGAGCAACACCAAACGTTGACTACATAATTGGATAGTTCAGTTCAATTCAGTTTGTACAACCATTACCCATGCACTTTCGTGCCGTGGTTTTCGTTGCTGTTTTTTGGCTGCTCATTTGGGTGAAGAACAGGAGGAAAACAGGAAGGTTGAAAGTATAGTTGAACAGAAACTGCAGATTTTTAATGGTTGCAAAGAAATTGAGAAGATTCACGAACGTCTCTGTTTACGACAGCCAAATCACTTAGTGTATCTAACCATTGATTACAATGATCCGGAAGGCCCCATCCAGAGAGTCTAATGCGACCTATATGACCGAGTCTTTTCATTAGGGTTTTCATACCCTCGTCTTGGGTGGACCACCCTTGACTTTTCTCCACTCCACTAACTGCCTCGGAGAACATCGCTCACCGTGGCAACCTATTTGGTGACATGCGTAACACATGACCCAACCGACGTAATCTATAGAGGTCGACCACTCGCTCCAGTGGGCGACCTCGGTTACCTAACACTCAGGGCCTAGCCTCAGCATTGCTCATCGGGCTACCCCACCAGATTCGTGCAATGGTGCGTAGACAGCGGTGTTCAAACACCGACTTCTTCTGTCTTCATCTTGTTTTCTCAACGGCCAAGTTTCTGCACCGTATAGCAGAACTGACCGTACTGCCGCAGCGTACATTCGACCTTTCACAGGCAACCTGATGTTTCGACAGCACCACAGATGTCCCAATTTGGCAAATGCCAACCGAGCCTTCTGTATGCGAGCTGATACTTCATCCGTGATGCGTCCACGCGGTGAGATGTAGCTGCCCAAATAATGAAACTAATCCATTTGCTCTATTACCCCCCAGTAAGATTGAGGCTGGGTGCTGGACCAACCCAGTTTTGTGGAAACATTTTACACTTTGAAGGTGCAAAACGCATACCGAACATGGCTGCGCTGGCGCTCAAGCTACACAGGAAAGCTTGCAACTTACCTGCATCTTCTTAGCAGCACAATGTCATCTGCATACTACAGATCAGACAGTCTGCCACCTGGAAGTAAATGGATGCCGCTATTCTCGTACGAGGATAGGGCTGTTTCCATTATCAAATCTATAACAAAGTTAAGTAGAAAAGGGGAATTGGACAGAATAGAAAGGAACAGAATAGATAAACGTCCGAGTAAAGTTTTCTTCTAGGACATCACATGGTCCAACAAATATTGTTATGCCGGTTTTTAGTAACGAACAGTCCAAACTAGGCCTTCCGCTAACGCATGAATGACGTAGTCAGACCACAATCTCTAGAAACACAGTCAAATCAAAGACTTGCATCACGTCTTCCAATGATCTAAACTGTGTATTTCCCGAAGTAACTAACTCGATACAAACCCAGATGGGACATTTAAAATTCCACAAAAATGGCCTGTGACATTTTACTGTGATGTCGTAAACGTCAATCAAAATGCGTCCTGCTTTAGGGGTTTAAAAAGCACAACAGCCGGAACGTGGTGTACACCGCGGTTCTGTAAACTGCACCACATGAAACAAGCTTGGAGATCGAATAGTGGCGCGGTCGTTTTTAATGATTGTCTTGTTCTTGTTTCCATGCTGCGTGAGAGGGAGACCTGGGACCTCGACCGTTTTCGAAAATATCTCGTTTGTGGTCTTCTCGTTCCGATCGGGAAACGCACCAACAGAACGGTCAAAATGATTAGGGCAAAACACATCCTATGTGTGTGTAATTGTATTCAGTGAATGGAGAGCAAGACGATCAATCACCAACATCCACCTGTTCACCCATCGAACACATATGTGCATACAAATCCATGAACAACTAAAGAAAACCCACAGTAAACTGGATACTCGGGAAAAACAGATTGCCACGAATGAAAATAATAATGGCATTGAAATTTGAATCACCACTTCAGAGGGAAATATTGAACCGATTGTGAATAAGGGATCACATCCGAAAATAAAGCAGCACTTAATTCAGGTGGTCCAAGTGCTGAGCACATTCATAATTATATTTCATGCATCACGCTCTCGCGGGTATTCTGTTTGACCGTAGACAATCCACCGCTGGTTGAATAGACTTAACAGACCTCGTTCTTATTACACGCATTGAACAATAGCGACGTGTGAAATAACGCTCTTAGCATTGTGACACGCAATAGCTCGCTATCGTTCATTGGTGCGCAATCGAACAACCGTTACGGTAAAACCGGGGACTGGTAGAAAAATCACAGAAGGAAATGATATTTATGGCTAGAATTGAATAATGAAAATATCCAAGTGAACCTTATATAGCCACGCATATTAGAATGTAGTCGATTTTTGAAGGTGCGCTGGCGTCTGGTGGCACATGAACACATTGGTGTATCCAGTTTCACTAACCGGCTTAGTCATAGCAGTTGTCTCTCGCCTTCTAGGTTGAGGTTCGAAAGGCTCCGTAACTGATTCTTTAGGCACAGTGAAGAAGATAGCAATGGTGTTCTTGATGTAATTTTATATCAATTCAGAATGCTTATAAATTTATAGAATGTACCCGGTGTTGAATGAGGAGGTTCATCTTCTTTTCTCTTACCCATTACAGGTTCAATCCCCGTCTATCTTAAGCTTTCGTACCCTGTGTATACCTTGATTATGGTAACGATCCATGAGGTTCACTCCACTGTACGATGCTGATGAAATGCCTTGGAAACAATGATTTCGAAAGGAAAAGGTATGACAAACAATTTAAGCAGAAACTACGAAACCTGACATCTTCCCGTCTATGTGTAAGTTATCCAATGCAAATAACTGGAAAAAATGGACCACAGACCGGAAGCCCAAGATTGGTAAGATTGATTGGATTGCTTTAACATGCAGGAGTTCAAGTTAAAATCTACAATGGCGAATACGCCTTACGAATGAACTCTCACGAGCTAAATATGACTCCATACTCTTGTAACCATCAACTAACCAAAACCAGATCTACTAATCACGTACGCATTGCTGATGAAATATCACTCGTAAATTTGCTTTCGACACCATTCATCTCCAGAAAACTGATGATGACCCAAAATTCGCCCAAATTACCTGATATCTCCTGAGGGTTTGTCGGACCAGTAATTGTTGTAGGATGAGGTACTTGTGCCTCAAAAATGCGCGTTTTCCAGTTTGGGCGATTCTTTGGTTGCAAGAGAATAGGTTTTCCTTCATCTCCTTTTGTGCGATAAACAGCTGACCGCGTGCATCTCATTGTTTTGAAGATCTACTATTCGGTGATAGAAACCGGCAACCTAACCCCTCGGACTTAAAATGGCAAACCATATAAAGCCCCAATTCTGGTATTGAACCGGGTCACAACAAAGCTGCCTACCATCAAAAATGGGTGAAGGTACCGGGGTTCGAACCTTTAACCATAGAGTCCAAAGCACACCAGTAGTGATGACTGAGCCTGAATTAAGTGATTGAGTGGATTGCAGGGTGCGTGAAGATGAAGTCTGGGCCACAGCCAGTAAAATGAGCAACTGATAAACAAAGCTCTCACACAGAAGAGCCTGTTTTGGTGGCGAATAGTTTTGTTGTCATTCAAATCAATAGCGCCACTATCCTAGTGATGCCTCCTGTAATATAATACTATAAGGGATTGTGCAGAACACATTTCGCTTCTTTTACTTTCCTCCACTGTGTATCAGCGAAAACTTTTCGATCCGTAATGAGTACTGAACACATGTTCTGGTCTCAAGTGTCTTTTTATGCGTTCTCGGAACATGGACCACTAACTATTATATTTGGGCTTACATTTTCTATCGGTGTGAATCCGTACACTTGCCTTTAGTGCTCCCTAACGTCGCATTTTATCAAAAAATGCACTGGTTAGGTTCACGTGAATTAACACCAGTATCAGCCTTTTATCCCAAGAACCGACGACACGTATCGGCTAAACAGACAAAGTCAGAAGGGAGCAATTTTTTCGGTAGTCGGTTAACAGTAAAACTATTCGACATGGGATGAGTATGAATGCTGTAAACGATTTCCTTTTGTCGTTCATTCAAGCATAAGT